AAGAAATAAGGCCGCAGACGTTCGTAAACTGGTTGAAAATACTCCTGATACCAGTACAGGAAGAATGTCTGCACTTACCTGAATAACGGAAAGGAAGATGGTGGCAAAAAACGTCAAGGACTGGACACATAATCAAAATTCTCCAGCAATCGCCCGTAGAACTGGAAAAAACGAATAGTTTCAAATAGATATTCAAAAATCCCGCGGAAAACTGACGGCGCCGTCGACATGTGACCTCCTGACGRCGATTATTGGGCAGGTACACGTGTGCGTCCTGTTTCTGTCCCTCATATATGGTATCAACAAAGACATCACAAATTTTCGATGTGTGACTTGTAAARCTGAACACAAATTTCAGTGTAATCAGGTGTAATAAWATGTTGTGAAAARCACACAAACAGATAATGTTGATCCAGTTTTAACTAGAGTTTTGCATTGACAAAATTACCCCAGTTTGTGAGTGACGGTGTCTGTTTTCAAACACGTTTTTTGCAACTTTCCGAATAAAGAAACGCAGTCATGTTAAGTGATGAGGATGATCGAGATGTTGATGTGGAAAGCGATGTAAGTCGTGTGTTGAAATCAACACAATGAGTTTTTCAAGTTTGGCCAGCCTTTTGCTGATAAAACTGTTTTCGTCTTAGGATGGCGAAGACCTAGATATTAGGCAAACTGGAGCCCGCATGTCTTCAGGGAACCAGTACTATTCCCAGGTAACTCAATATGTTGATTTACGTCTGCATTATTACAGCATTAACCCGTTGGTTAGTTCTCTAGAAACCTTTCAAAAGCAGAATTACTGCAATTTCGTTAAGCTTGGGAAAGCTTTTCAGTCGCATTCACTTCAAGATATGCAAATTTCTTCATTTGAATTAACGTACTGCCCCTTTCGGCTTCTCAGTGTATGTAAATTCATTGGCTCTTCCATTTCAGGCTCAATTTTCATCTGTACTGTTCATGTCTGATGGTTTACACTGCTCAGATTTTTTGGGGTAGTTTTAAGGCACATTGGCTTTGGTCTGTCCCGCTTAAACTGTGCTCACCTAACAGATAATCGTTCTGTCCACTAAGAAAAGGAAAACTTTTTCAGGGAAAACGCGGTTTTCTACCACTTCAAATCACAAAGGAAGCCTTCATAGTTTGTAGGCAGAGTGCAGGGGAAAAATCAATACTTTATAACATGTTGGCAAATGCTCACCAAAGTAGCAGTTGAACATTAATCAATGTAACCAAAATTAACGAAAAGTAAGGAAATCCTTAATTGAAACTAATCTGAAAACCTACAAACTGTGATTGAGAAAAAATCAGGTAGAAATAATACGTATACTTGGCGAATGCGCGAAATTTTCCAACTCGTCTCACCATAAACCGCAAAAAATACCCCTAAAAAAGTTTTTGGTAAATGGATTGTCTATAAGGTGACTAAACCCTCCAAAATGAGTCTGAAATTCCCATAATCTCTTCGGATTAATTATCAAGAACTCAATTACGTTCTGTGTCTAAATCGATTGATGCCTTTTGGCTTTTGTTAAGGTAAAAATCATTTGTACATGGTGTCCGAAAATTATCTTCCAATCGCCCAAATTGTATTACAAAGCCATGCCCTCATCGCTAGGAAAAAAACGGTCAAATAATCAATGTGGCTTTATGCGATCATTAATTGAGTGTTTTATTTGCAGGCAGAAAAACGGGCTCACCATAACGCTTTGGAGCGTAAAAGACGCGATCACATAAAGGACAGTTTTAGTAGTTTGCGCAATTCGGTGCCCTCGTTGCATGGGGAAAAGGTGGTAGGTCATTTTTGAATCATTTCTATAGAGCTATTAAGCGCATTAACATCAACCAATTCAATATGGCAACGCTAATATCCGTTTCACAGGCCAGTAGAGCGCAAATATTGAAGAAAGCCTCCGACTACATTCTGTATATGAAAAAAAAGAACAACTCCCATCAACAGGACATTCACGATCTAAAGCGGCAAAACAGTCTCTTAGGGGCTCAAAGTACGTGGTAAACGCTCAAATTTCCTGTTAAATTGGACCGATTTGTTTTCAGTTAGGACGCTGGAGAAAGCTAAGAAATCGGCGACATTTCACTCGGAATTGAGTAAGTGTATCATCGAATCAGACACCGAAAGCTCATCAGATGGGGATGAGGAAATGGTGACGCAGCCCCAGAATAAGTCGAAAAAGTTGAAAACAGCGCATTAATTTAACTGTGCGCAAAACGGACAAAGGCCTGGAAAGTGGTTGCAATGCTCATCTACGCAAACTAAGTACATTTTTGTATTCTAATACAGAAACGAACTGATTTCTGTCGAAAAAAAGCTTTAACAAATTTAGGTTGCGTAGAAATACGTGTACATGGTTCGGGAGATAATCAATGTATATTTATTTTACTCAATTAATTTATGTATTATCAACTTTCTGTTACATTTCGTTATTTACTTCTATAAATTTTAAATTATGCTGGCCACCAAAACCACCCAATAAAGTGTAAATACAATATAAATGCACAAATCCAGTTAATTCAGTCTGGGCTTTTTGTCCGCTGGAGGTTTCACCACCTTAGTCTCCTGTTTAACATCAGCCTTGTCTTTGGCATCTTGCGCTCCATTTTCACTTTCAGTTTTCACTCGAGCAGTGGCCGCCGTTTTGGGCTGCGGTGGCGTTGGCAGCGGAAATTTCATAATTAACTCCCCCAGTAACATGTCCACTCTTTGTCGTTGAAACAACGAGCTGGATTCCTCTTTCGGCTTCTCTTTTTCCGGGATTTTTACCTTTTCAGGGCCCTTTTGCGACTTAAAGTCCCAGTAGTAGCCTTTGCTCGGGTGGTATCTGGAGAATGCTGACGCTTCTTCAAAAGACGACTGTAAATGATGAACAGCCGACAGCTGCAAATCAATGGGATCAACATTACCGTACTAAACTAAACAGTTTCAGCACTAGTTTCCGGTGAGTACGTTAGCCGGTGAGATTTATTATACAAGAACTATGTAGTTATTGTAGCAGTTTGTTTAGTTTCTGTATTTTATTTATTATTCCTGGACAAGAAAGCTCAATATTTATTCGTTGCAATTGCAGTGAAAATAAATAGTCAGAACCACTGTTTTAGTATTGCTCTAACTCGCACCATCTGCATCTGGCCTCAATCCTCCTTACTTGTCCGCGTAAGATCCTTTCTGTAGGAGATACAATCAGTTTTTTCAACATTTTCACGAKGGTTCCTTCTCTCTGCTATCACCTCTCAGGTTATAGTGGGKTSTGCATTGGAGATTCGCCTGTTTGCCCCATGAGGACAGTCAGCAGCCCCTAACTTTGCTATTCAGACTGCTCGAGAGCATCGATTCKGAACYGTCTCCTATTTTTTCTCCGGCTTTTCTTATTTATATTCCGGTTGAGAACATTCCCGCATTTTCAAAAATCAAATATCTTATAACTTGATTAWGAGTTTCTGCAACAAATCTTTTTCCGGTTATAAAAGATTGACCCTGTACGACCGATTCAATTGAAAAGAACGGTTGAAATTGRAAATCTAGATTGGAACATGGAAGTAAAGGAACAATYGTCATATGGAGGAAGAACGAAAATATTAGAGTGKATACCGCCAGCAAAACCGACAAACCCGGCGAACAGGAATGTAAAGTCGTGTAACGCTATCAACGGGATTTATGTATAAATCTAGTTACTTACCAGCCTTGAATTGAGCACACTGTTTAAGTCGGGGGCCTGGTAGACAACTCCTGCGATTATGTAGTAATCAGCCAGAGGCGTCACCTGTTGGGGGCTGTGGCGGTGCTGTTTTCTAATCACATAGAGAATCGGCTCTTGGACATGCAACAGCATATATTCCAGTCCGGTCATGTTTCTGAAACAAACCATTTCAATCACTAATCGTCTAGACTTGATGCTTTCAAGCGCTAAGTTTGCGCTTATTTGATCTGTTTACTTACTGTAGCTGATCAGGATTGAGCCTTTGCATCTTGATAATCTCGTTGTTGCAAGTCTTATCGAAAAACGAGTTCGAAGCCTGCGAGAAATACTCGAGCACGTTCGATGTGTTTAAGATGGGAATCCATGTGGAGTCCTGCCATGTCAGTTCCAAGGAGCTGTCGGAAACTCCACTGGGCGCCGTTATTCCCAGACGATTCATTTCAAGTTGCAAGTTCTTCCTGTTGGCTCTAACTTTATGCAACCCGCGAAAGGGTCCAGTAAAGTAATCCTCGTCTCTTGAGTGGTTCTAAGCCAACCTACAACGGGTTTTATTGAAAAACGTTGGCTAAAACACTTCGACTTTAGCCACTGCATGCATTTTATTAATCGTTGCTAATATTTTGTTTGGAAGAATCCTAACGACAAAACTGACAATTTCACAATTATTCCCGGTTTTGAGCAAATGTATGTTAAAAACCATTCCATTTTCATAGAAACCTGTGGGGAACCAATTACAGAATATGATCTCAAAGCTGGTGGCTCAAGGTTTTACTCGAGAAAAGCTATTTTTGAGCGAGTTGACGTTGAATTACTCGCCTGCCCGTTGCTGCTGTGCACTGTAAGTACACACCAAGCCCGAAATTTCACTTTTTCCACTAGTCAGTTAACTGTGAGACTCGAAAACGACTATAAAATGCTGTAAAAATTAGAAATGTGTACAGTTTTGACCACTTCCGCCACTTAACCTAAAAACCCTGTCATGATCTTGGGGTTATGATGGTTAATTAACAAGACAACAACATCTGGCAACATTCCAAACTAACCTCCAGAGAATGTAAATAGTTATTTTTGAAATAAAGGGGCCAAAATGCCCAACGGGCTGCAAGTAAAGTCATAATTTCTCAATCATTAGCGGAAGATGGTAGTACAGGTTTTCCCATTGCTCAGCATCAAGTGATTTCCCGTGTGTTGTAGATGGATTTTTCAGTGCTTCCTCTACACAAGCACCCTGAATACCTTCAAGACTGCTGCGAGCTGATAAACAGTGAGTGGAAACGGAGCCACACAGCGCGCATGCAAAGCTTGCAAGGGTCCTGCGACCAACTGCCAGTTTCCCTGATTCTTTTGAAGGGCGAAGCGCTGGTTGGTCATCTGAAGCTGTGCCCCATTCCGAGCATCAAAAGTGGCTGTTTCGTGCAAAGTGTTGTCGTCAACCGGGCTGATAGAGGGAAAGGATTTGGCTCCGTCCTGATGCAACGTGCTGAAGTGTATTGCAAAGACAAGTTGAACCTGAGTGTGATTTATTTGTCCACCCAAGGGCAGGAGGAATTTTATCGGAAACTCGGCTACAGTGAGTGTTCGCCGATATCGATTTATGGCAGTTTTTCAACGCCTCCCATCGAAAACGGCCCGAACAGTATGGGGAGGACGAAGGGAAGTCGGCCTGATGTGGCGCCTACACCTCCACCAATGCCAATTAATTCTACAAAATTAGCTTCCTCGAAGACCTACATGAAGAAGAACATTTAGTTGTTGGCGATTGTCAATAAATTAATTTATTGAGAAAAGACGAGAATACGTCCGATATATCCTCTATCCTTTACTCGAGTTTTTTCGACTTCACAATGGCAACACCGATTAAAGGGCAGATTCCATGTCTGTCACTGTCATTAACGACATTGGCAAATCACATTGAAAATTTCCTTAACCTTTGATTCCTGTTGCGATTTTCTACGAAAGTTGCCAAAGAATTCAGACGACGGCAATAATGAATTCCTCCAAGGTAATTTAAACGATTTCCCTGTGGAATTCCAACGATAGAAAGCACGCATTATAAGCATTGCTCGCTTGAATGAATGGCAAAGTTTGGTGCTGTCTGCCCGTTTACGTAATCATTCGCACTGCGGATCGATTTATATTTATTTAAATTTCCGTGTTTAGTTTTGCGCGCTTGCATTGTGTTAAGGCCGTTAAACATTCACGAAATTTTGTTCCAGAACCTTTTCCGCCTGACTCAGGTAGTGGTCAGCGCCACCCGCAATGCCTCTAAAGAAGTTGTAAACCCCCGATTCCATACTATGAAAGCCAGACAAAAAGTATTCGGCGTAAGTATTAATTGTTAATATCAGTTACACAGGGTGTCAAGAATATTCTATATATGTATTTATCTACTGTTGAACTTTTTGGAAAGTATTTGAAATCGTTCTGTTACAGGTAGATGATGGTGTTCCAGTCCATCTAAAAGCTGGCTTTGGAGATAAAATGCTGGTGTCACTTACATGGGTCTTGATTGGAGTAGGCCTTGCAGGCTCAGGGCATACCGTTTTCACCCTAATTACTAAATAGATTTGTGAACAGTGGGTCTAAGCAGTAGTTAATGTTTCGCTATTAAATAATTGTATAAGGGACATTTTACAAGGGCGTAATTTCATTCCTTGTCCCCCAATCCAGCGCTGTTTCGTGAACTTATGGGAACAATCAAAGAAGCGCGCAAATACATGAAATTTACCAGAAGCATTAACGTTCATCACTGAACATACACTCCGTATAAGTGTCAAATATAGCAAAAAACGCGAAAATAAATCAATAATTTATCAGTACTGGTGATTAACGTGCCAACACGCACCTCCAAGTCATCAAACATTCCACAAAAGTTGCGCTCTTATCGCTAATCGCACAGTTTCGAGTGTGTTACAACAATCGAGCGTATTCACTTGGTGATTTGGCGTGGAACAGTGAACAATCGGAAATCAGTTTAAAAAAAATATGGCAGACGATCTGTTGCAAGGCCTGAAAGATGCAGTGGATAATCTGGATCAAGGGGAAGAGCCTGGCGCGGAGGATCCCCAGGACAGGATAAAACAGCTGCTGAAGGCGCTCAAAGATTTGCCGGGGATCAGTGATGAGCAGAAGGAGAATTTGGCCAAAAGTGTTCTGGGCGGTGAACCAGGCTCTCAGCTGCCATTGGGCAGCCCTATAGCGAACCCTTGGCTAGAGTTTGCAGTGCTCTTTGGACTGATCAGTTTCGTTATTCTACTGTTAGGTAAGAAAACTGGCATTCTACCAACGCCATGGTGGCTGAACCGCAATTTTGCAGGTTTTATCGGGTACCGACTCTACCAGAACATGATCGACCAGGACAGGCGGAAAGAGCTGAAGAGGCTGAAGAAGGAGCAGCGAAAGAGGAAATGAACCCCATTTTTTTCATATACACTATGTAAACTCGTGGAATTAAAAGCAGTAAAACGTTCCGTGCGTACCTTTTAAATTTTCCCTTAGAAAACTTTCGGTAGTATGGAACCCGACACTTTTTTGCTGCATCCAAGAACGTACAAATTACAGAGATTTTTTATTGCATTTCTATAAGAGATGAAAGACACACTCATTCCCTACTTTGAGGAAAAATTGCAACTTTCGAAGCCTGCAAGTTTGGAAAGTACGCATTTTTGTTCAAAAGCTTGCAGATTTCCGAGTCAAAAACCGCCAGCAAGTTTAAGTTTTAGAGCACGCCGTTGTTGTCGCTCTGACGTTGAAGTCATCATGACCGATATTTTCGCCATGCCTAAAACCATGCTGTTTCCAGACGAATTAAGCAGCTGTTTGAAAGATCAGAGCGCGGTAAGTGATCGCAAAGAATCCGGTTCCTTGTAGCAACTGCTTACCTGCAGGTATTTGCGCAAGAAAATGCCGTACTTAAGCGCGACCTGGTCGGCTTGGAAGACAAATATGCCCAGATGCAAGTGGAGACCGAGTCCCTGAAAAATCTCCTGCACGACAGGGAAAAAGTGCTGCTGCCCCAGTTCGCCGCCTCGTCTCAGAACGTCAGCTCAAAAATTGTGGAACTGAGCAAAAGCTACCGGGAGAAGTGCTCAGAACTGGAGAAGTACAAAACCAGGTGTTCCAAGTTGCAAACCCAACTGCAAGAAAGCAAATCACGAGAGCAACCGGACAAGGATCCGCCAAAGCCGGCAGTAGAAAAATCTGAAGACTCAACCGCCAAAGAGAAGCAGCTGCAGAAGCTGAGTGCAATGACGAGCAAAATGCTAGAGCTGAAAAACGCCAACATGCAGCTGAATAACGAGCTGAAGCAAGCGAGGAAGCTGCTGCAGCAAGAAATCGGCCAGGACATGGAAACACTGCAGGCAAATGGCAGCTGGAAGGGGCGCGCTCAGATCATCTGCGACTTGGTGGAGAAAAACAAGAAATTGAAGGAAAAGTTGAAAAACGCCTCAGGTAATCGCAAAGGTGTTGAATCATCTTGTACTCTCTAGTAAACTCGGATAAGTTTCATATAAAAATGCACCACTTTCTTAGAAGGCAGCTGAATTAAACCGTTTTTGTTTAGCAGACCCGCAAGGTGCGAGAACAGACTCCCATACCAACGAGCGAATATCCAACAGAGTGTCGAGCCTGGAAAACGAAAATCACGACCTAAAAACGCAACTGCAGTGCTATAAAAGCAAGGGCGAGTCGTTGAAGTCGCGCTGCCAAATGCTGGAATCGGAGCAGCAGGCTTTGAAGCTGCGCGTCCAGGACGTGAAGGAGCGCAGCGCCAGTGACTTGGACCTGATTGCCAGCATGTCCAGTCAGCTGGCTGAAGCTGAGCATGCGAAAAGGAGCGCAGTCAAAGAACGGGAACTGGAAATCGCCAAACTGCGTTTGGAAATTGAAAACCTAAAAGCGCAAGTTGAGAACTACAAAACGCTCATGGACGGTTTCAAGCGCAGCAAAGACTGCCGGGAAGCAACCACGCAGAATTGCCAGGTACTGGTGCAATTTGTTTTCGCCCGTTTATCCAACGCGCATGTTTAGAAGAACACTGAGGAGATTGGGCAAAGTATTGCAAAACTGGAAGAGCAGAAGCTGAAGCTTCTGGAGCTGGTGAAACTGCACAAGAAAAGGATTGAGGATGAAAGAAGCGAACGGCAAAGGTGTGAGCAACTTCTGCGAATGGAACGTCAAAAATCAGTACGCCTCGAGTCTACTGTCGCAAAGTCTGAACTGGACTGCGCAGCCCCAGTAAGCCTATTAAGAAAATAGCGGCGCAGAAACAATAAATCACTTCAAATGCATTTTCAGAGCAGATCACGTTACAGCACACCGTTGAACAGGAATTCGGAAATTAGTCTGCAAGACCAATTAGAGCTGGCCGAAGAAAACATCAAGGCGCTACAGACCCGACTGCAACTGGAACAGGGGGAAAGGAGGCAGGATTTTCAGGAATTTGCCACTATATTATCAACAACGAAAATCTCCAGCATACCAGGACAGCACAATTAACCCTCAGTCCAATAACAATAATAATTGTTTAATAATCTACAACTTTAAAGCATTTCAAAAAATATAACTAATATTGGTATACACCGCAGAAATTACAAACTAACAAAAATAGAATTATACACTGCGAGCAATAATGCTAATATTAATTATATCGTTAACAATATGGTCGGAAAATACATTGATAATATTGCGTACGTAACTTCAGGGTACATGAAGAATAGATAAATGCAATTACGAAACGGGCATTACAACCTCTTGTTTCCGTCGAATATAAATTGTTTTGGCTAATTGCAATTTATTTAGTGTCAACTTAAGCATGACCTTCTTGAATAAAGTCCGATTTAGAGGCAAATGCAGAATCCACGCTATCTTATTCTCAAACTGAAAACAGTAACGCTCCAAAGCCATCGGCTCTGAAGAATCGGAGGTAAATTTAAAACAAAGTAACTTAAACGGGTAAATTTAGCAGAAAAAACTCCATGGAACTGAACAAAGAAAAAAAATAACACTCAGTTAAGTTTCAAACAGGCAACTGACTCACACTTTGCGCAGATTATTCCGTCTGATCTTCTTGCAATTAGACAATAATTGGCTAAACCGAAGTGGCAGTCCAAATGATGAAAAGTGAGAAAAAACATAAATAAATTTGCGACTGAAAAGTTGCATCGCAACTAGTAATTACGTATAGAATAATACATCTTAGTACTACATCTTCTGAACTAGGCGGATTCGTCACTGTACAAGTAAAATCACAATATTTTATGCCGAAATCGAATAAAAAATCACTCTCCTCCTGACCTTAAAGGAAATTTTTGCCTGATTATATATCATGGTCCACTACTAAACTAGCACCAGATATTTCAACTAACTTACTTAAGTTTCAAACCACAATCGGTTGCAATGCTCAAATAGCACCAGAACCAGGAGCATTATACAGGGCGTTTGGTAACAGCTATACTATACTACAATTTTGTGCAGTAAAGTTGGTACAAAGCAAAAGACAGAGTCTTTTGGCCTGGCAGATTTAGAGTTTATTTTTCTCCTTCTCTATTAGTGTCGTGCTCGAAAGATCCGGAACAGCTTTTAGGCAAAATAAATGAAAATTTCATTTTCGCAAAACATGTATGTATAGTTGATCCATCGAAAATTGCCAAACACCCTGTATATTTCACTCAGAAAATAGAAAAAAACCACGAGTTGTAAAAAACAGCATTTTTCAGTCTCTCTAGGTACTAAACTTAAGGCACTACCATTTTTTCCAAAATAAATGCTTCAACGGAATGGGCTGCTATTGCAGAGGGCAAAAAATACTGTCTTCACCGATTACTAATAATTATTATCAGGCACTTATCAAATTCGAGATGATCCAGGATTCAAACTAGTTGAAAAGATTACGTTTTTTTTTAAGTAGACGAATCAGGTGAAACACAACCAACCAAGTACTTACACTTTCTTGGGCTTGAACTTCATTTTACTTGTATTTACATGGCAAGTAAAGCGATGTTACTAAACTAGGTTTAAGGTAGAAGGTATATATACAATTTCCAATGATTCTACTTCATTTCAATGCATGAAAACTAAATGCATGACGCACGTGTGCTCTTCACACTACCTACGAAAAGAGTACGAGATGGTGGCAAAACATTTGGTCCCGTTTTGGTACGAATATAAATAAGGAATGGATGGTTTCTAAAAATTTCCGAAACATTTTCATTCTTGAATACGGAGTGACCCAAACATAACTGCATTTTGCCGATATTCAACAATCTTTCCGGAACTGTCTATATAGTTCCAGAAATGTTGTGAAGCTAAAAAATCTCAAACATTGTATGCACTTTGGGTCACCCTGTATATGGTAGAAGTATAAAATTTGCAGAAACCATGGTCGATTCGAATTTCCTAAATAACTCCTTTAAATGTTGTTGGCCTGCTGCACGTAATTGGCCGGCAACATGCCAACCTGTCCAGTCCTTTGGACTTCCCCGGTCATCCACCCCCTATCAATACTACTCACATTGACAATTAAATCTCCGTCCTGGAAACTGACCTCGTCCTCATCTTGGGCCTCATAGTCGTACATGGCTCTAAAAATTACAACAGAACATTCTCAATTCAACAAACATGAACACTCTTCAGTTCAATATAACAGCAAGTTCAAAAAATATTGTACCGTCGGGAATCCAAGGTCTTTGATCCAGCTAAACATTTATTAAACTGGTATGCAACAGAACTAACTTCGAAATTATCGGCAAACGAACAAACAAAACTAACTCGGACTAACTTCTTTTTAACTCGACAGCGGCTGTCACGCGACTGGCTGTCGTTCGCTTCTCCAGGAGCGAGTTCATAAACAAAAGAAGCGGACAGGAAGCTCCGAACAGGAATATCCGTCAATCAGTGTCACTTCGTTTATGATCATATAGTCGCTCTGTCCCTCATACCAGAAAGTCTCGCTTTCCTTGTCTAAGATCGGCCTTTTATGCCGCTCAGGTAAGACACATTCGCGCGTTAATCAGGAACGCGCTCCAGTTAACTTGCAAAACTCCCCGACTGTTAATGTCACATTTGAGCGTCAAATTGATGAACTTTAATCGTCATTCTAACAATAAGTAGACTATTTTCTTTAAAATGGACAGTGATGGACAAAATTAGCGTCCCGCCCATATTTACTGTGATTCATATTGTTTGAAGCCATTGAAATGTCAGCAGCGAGGAATTTACGTGAGTATAATGGGGCGAAAATTGCTTGTTGGAAGAAGGCTAACACTACCATTATCGGATTTCTTCAGCCGTTTAAGGAAGCAAATTGAAGATAAAGATCGATCAACCAAGTAATAATCTCTTCCCTTACTTACCGGAAATGAGATTTTAAAATCGTATTCACAATTTTCATAATGTTGAAATTTCATCCAGAACAGCATAAAGGAGGGTCAATGAATCGGGGTTGAGTGCAAAACATCAGCTCTTTTAACCATAGCACATAAGGCTTGCGTAGAAGTGAGCATTGTTTACTGATGAAGTAAGACCAGGCTTAACATTTTCCGATGGGCAAGCTTTTACCTGCAGAAAATCTGGAGAAAGATACCAGAGTTTTGAAGAGGCATTTTTCCGGAAGCCGATACCTCCCGTGTAGTAATCCGATGAAGATCATTCATACCAATCGAGATACATTCAAGAGATTTTGGAACTGGATGCCGTACCTTTTACCTCTTACATAGACAAACATTTTTGGTTTATGAATGATCAGATTGCTGCATACTCATGGGATTAAAATGAAAAAAACATTCCTAGAGTTAAAATAGTATTAAGTACCTGTAGACTCTTCCCATTCCGCCCAGAGATCCATAATTGTGATTCACTGGATCCATATCATGGACTGATCCAATTTGTCGGTTTGGAGCCGGTTCCATGACGCTGCTTCCGATTTCGGAATTGTAAATCAATGTCTGTGATGGTCTTGATGAATACGGGCTTTGGAACTGATGATTAGAAGACTGAGGAGACGAACATTAGCTTTTAACGCGACAATGAAGTTTCGCGTTACCCACCTGAGGATCATAGTCTGAAATTTTGCCAACTGCTGGATGTGGCGCTGGAACAGTGTTAACTGGGACCTGGTAAGGAGCAGCTTTGGGCACGGTTGTGTTGACCACGTTTTCAGCATTTCCATTCTCATTCAACTGCCTTCGTTGCTCCATTTCGGCCTTTCGCTGCAGGTCTCCATGGTAAGCCACATTGCTGAAACAGTTCCCACTCACTCGCTGCTTCAATACATCGCGACTTCATTACCCACCTGATGATTTTGGTATTTTGCTTAATCCTTAACGTTTCCGGATCGTCTGCAACCTGCGTAAACTTGCCTTTGCTCCTCTCAAAGTCCGCATGATATTTAACATTTGATTGGATTTTCGTATTTTCCGCTATCCGTTTCAGTTCGGGAGTTTCAGCCATTGTAGTCGCCTTAGCTTTCGGTACATGCCTAATGATAACAAGATACTCTCAGCATAAATATTTCAGGAGAAATTGCTGGTTTCAACTCACGCATCACAATATGGTTCCTTGTTGAAACCTTTGTAATTCCGCATGTTTAAAGCCATGCCGCAGTCCTTGCATTTAAAACACGGTCGATGCCACACCTGCAATAAGTTACAATTTATTTGACTTAATTGTGAATAAAATACACGATAACTAACATAAAGAAACTGGTATAAAAATATGCTTTTCTAGTTTGAAATATTGGCAGAAATAGTGAGTAAACTCCTTAAAACTAATTAGAACCAATTAAATCTATGACACTGGCAGTTCACTAAAGAGTTTTTGCTTAATTAGTCCAGATGCTATACATGAATTCTGTTAATGAGCAAAGGCTGACTAATTTGTTTATTAAGTATCCACATCTATGTGTCAGGGTTCGCATTATAAACAACACCAGCTAGTAGATGTTGAGTATTCTGGTATTACTCTCAATTGATTATTTCTTTGGTGCTTTTGTGACTCATAAGGCTAATTCAACCTTAATCTAAATATTCAGCCTTGATTAAATGGTGCCAAAAACCATAAATTAATGCCACCAAGTAAATCCAATTGACTTATTTAAAAACCCGTTGAAGCCGTATGAAGTTTCAGGATTTTCCACGTTCCAATCAAATGTGAAAACAATGTTAACAATTTAATTACCTTATCCAGACATTTTAGCTCTTCAGTCGGGTAAACCGTTTTCTCACATCTGGCACAGCTCTTATTCATAATGATGTTGTTCCACTGGTCCCACTAATTCACCCACAGTTTGCACCCGAATAAAACCAATTGAATCAAATTGAAGGGAAAATGCAAGAAAACTGAACAAAATAGGAAAATAGAATAAATGCCCAACCCGTTCTCCCGTTGATTCGCCCGACAAAATCACATACTGACATACTTCAGTTGGATAAGTCATCAGAATCCTTAAAAGATCCGGGCAATGTCCATGCGTGCAAGTGAGATAATCGATGGACGGCCTTTCAGTAAGTAAAATAACAATTTTTTTTAATAACCTAGACCACGATCCCCGCTTATATCAGTTGCAGTCCACTTCTGGACAAAGCTGGGGTGTTTTAATAAAACATGTTGCAGAAAAACACTTAAATGAATGCCTAACCAGAGAGCCTAACCGCTTTTGATTTAGGCAATGATGCCAATTTCTTACTCGGCCTAGTCTAGGAACCGGATGTAGGTGCTGCCCCCTCAACGCCCGTCTGTCATTGGAATCACACCGACACCGCTTTCTTTTAATGGTGGACGTCGTCTCCACTTCGTGTATGGTTTTAAAAGAAAAGCTTTAAGTAGAAAATATGGTAAGTTTACATTGGTTAATTGACCGATTGTTCATTGCTCACGGTAAGCTATTCACTCAGATAATCGGTATTAGCGCTCCTAATCAGCAGATTGCTGCAACCTCATGCCCACGTGTATTGGTACTAAATCCCCTGTGTTTTCTCCATATTTCAACCAATCTCTTCAATATCGTTCTTCGTTTGAAGCATGACTATACCAGCAGGGGTATGAGTGCTTTAGCACTGCGCCCCTATGGATTTTTCATGTAAAAGTCGGTTTTAGGTTAGAATTTTCAATTGCCAAGACCCCAACGGCGTTGATTGCCTAAGCCTGCAGGGAATTCAAAAAATGTTTAATTTTCTATTGTAATTACTATACGTCAACGTGTAGGACATGCACCGAAAAAAATGCTTACAATTTTTATTTGCAGGCGTTATCAGCGGCTCGTCCCCTTGTAAACGTGTACAATGAAAAGTCGGAGGAAGTTAAAGGTTCGAGCGTAGCTCTTCCAGCTGTCTTCAGAGCCCCAATTCGACCTGATGTTGTTAACTTCGTTCACCAACAAGTTTCGATGAACCATCGTCAGTCCTACAGCGTTAGCGACAAAGCTGGTAAGATTTTTGTTGAATTCTAAATTGCCGTGTTTTTTTATGGTCCGATAGCAAATTTTGGGTTTGGTCCCGTTCTAATTTAATGATGACTTGCTTTTGGTCCGTGTTTATGAAGTCTAAATGATTTTATTGTTCAAAAGCTCTGATTTACCGTAAAGTGTGCCCCCTGCTGGACTGTGCCGCATAATGGTTTTTATATTCTAATGTTTAATTTTTCCAAAGGCCATCAAACCTCTGCTGAGTCCTGGGGAACTGGACGTGCTGTCGCCCGTATTCCACGTGTGCGTGGTGGTGGTACTCACCGTTCCGGGCAGGGTGCTTTCGGAAATATGTGTCGTGGAGGACGCATGTTTGCACCAACCAAGCCATGGCGTCGCTGGCACAGGTCAGTTTTGCTTTAAGATTCAAGATCACCATCAGATTCCCACTGACATTAAAAATACCATTTTCGATGCATGATGATTTGCTTTTGGTCCGTGTTTATGAATCTCAGTGATTTTACAATCAAAAGCTCTGATGTCTCGAATAAAATTGGGCATATAATCTCTTATTCCTTGTTGTTACTCAGTTGAAAGTTGGGGTTTTCAGACGTGTGAACATCAATCAACGGCGCTACGCTTTGGTTTCCGCTGTGGCGGCCAGCGGAGTCCCTGCACTTGTTATGAGCAAGGGGCACGTGGTTGATCAGATCCCCGAGTTGCCCTTGGTAGTTTCCGACAAGATTCAGGAATTCAACAAGACCAAGCAGGCCGTGCAGTTTTTGAGGAGGATCAAGGCCTGGGCCGATATTCAAAAGGTGAGACGCCTGTTGTGGGTGCATTGAGTTGGTCACATGCTTGTTCCATATGATGACTTGCTTTTGGTCCGTGTTTATGAAGTCCAAATGATTTTATTCAAAAGCTCTGATATTCTTAGGGGTCAACTGTTTGAATATAGGGGAGTTTAACTTAATTCGACTGAGTTCTTTTTCGTCTTCCAGGTCTACAAGAGTCAACGTTTCCGTGCTGGCAAGGGAAAAATGCGCAACAGGAGGAGAATTCAGCGTAAGGGACCTCTGGTCGTTTATCATCAAGATCAAGGTAGGAGCATTTTTATTTTTTTTAATACCGCAGCACTTATCGTTCCATTTACGTTCTCTATAGCGTTAGTGGTCCAAAATAGTGCTAAATCAATTGTGATAACTTTTCTGTCTGGCGCATCAATCGCTAAGAGAGATATACTTCACAGTACATCCTGATAATTTCAGTCGACAGATTAAATAATGAATTGATTTTGCAGGTCTACGCAGAGCTTTCCGCAATATCCCGGGTATTGATTTAATCAGTATCGAGAAGTTGAATCTACTGAAATTGGCGCCTGGCGGTCATGTTGGGCGTTTCGTCATCTGGACGGAATCCGCTTTCCAAAAGCTGGACAAAGTGTTCGGAAGTTGGAAAGTGGCTTCCAGCCACAAAAAGGGCTACAATCTGCCCGAAACTAAAATGTCCAACACCGATCTGTCTCGCCTGTTGAAGGCTGATGAAATCAAGGCGGTCCTGCGTCGTCCACAGTACGTTATTCCTTTATCTCTATATCTTATTCAGATGCAAATCCTTGTTATGATGACACGCTTTTGAGCACTGGGTTATGAGAATCCATGATTACCTATTTTGACATTCACTTCTGACATAGTAGTTGCACTTTGCCGCAATAGTTCAAGTGGAAACAGACGCTAAATAAGTTCAAATTTCCTTTAACAGGAAGAAGATTGTGCGTCGTGTGCGACGCCTCAATCCATTGACGAACGCCAAGGCTATGTTGCGGCTCAACCCGTACTCTGCGGTTTTGAAGCGCGAAGCAATCCTATCAGGCCAGAAAAGAAGCTTGGCTAGAGAGGAACTTCTTGCCAAGAAGCGCGGGGTAAGAAAGCCTTACGGCAGCTGCAGCTCACTTTTCACGGCTTTCTACTTTTTACAGATCACTTTACCGGAAACAAGTCCGGTAATCAGGTCGGCCAAGCTGCAGGCTAAAAGGAGGGTCCAAATCTTGAAGGCCCAGAAGGCAAAGGCTGCCAAGCCGAAAAAAGTTGCCGCGAAGGCACCAGCTAAGAAATAAATATGATGTTTCTTAGTTACGAAATAATTATCAAGTAAGTGGGTGCCTTTTTATTGAAAGAAGACCAAATACCTAAAAAAAATTCCATGTCCCTTCCAAGTAACATTTCACGTCTCTGTAACGTTGGCTCTAAACGAAAACAATGCAGGGATATTAAAATGCCTCCCAAAAAACTTAATTCTTAGGATTTTTGCTTTCTTTTTTGTCATATGTCTATTTTTTGTCTCTATGTTAACTTCAGAAAATATTCTGATTCAGGGACCATTACGCATGTATCCACATTTCCAGAGTGAGACACCCTGTATATTAAAATTTGATGTGAGGTTAATGACAGAAAATGACAGCGATAATTTCGTGTTGTCATGCAATCACAATAAATGTCACTGTCAGCTTGATTTACTCCGGGTGATAGATATTCAAATAATCTTAGAAAAACTAATCAAAGTGAAATGTTTTTGCCGGGCGAAAAAAGCAATCGTGGTTAGCAGCGGCGAGCCTACAAACCCCCGGTGAAAAGTAAGTAGAGCATTTGAACACAATCTTCGATCGAGATACTTCACTTACACGGTTTCTTTTATGAAGAAACATGCAAACGTTTGTTTCATTATTCTACTAATAATGCGTTGTTTATGTAGACCTCTTTGAATAAATAAAGTCGCGAAATTCTGCCCGAACTTTAAAACAAACCGGCTAATTTTAAGCCCCCGTTAATTTGTGAAAAAGTTAGTCATTGAATCCCTGTGTGGTGATGAGTGCGTTCTCGATTTCTGCTTTTAAAATATCATCCCACGCGACGTCTTCGACAGATTCACTGGCGCAATCCTTTGACCAACCGATCCTGTTTTTATGCACCTCGTGTTGAATGCCTGCCTCGGTTGAGGATGATATTTTGCACATTCTCACGTCCAGTTTTCGCAAAGTTGAATTGCTCTTTAACGCCCGCAGTAGTTCTAGTCCTGTGTCCTAAAGGCAGTTTAATAATGTTCGAACTAAACCACCCCTGTTATTGCGTGTTACCTCGCCAAGCGCGTTATTGGAGACGTCCAGTCTTTCAATACAGTTCCGGTGTTTAAGCGCGCGTGCTATTTGAAAGTGATTGGTCAAGCTGCAGCTTGATAGCAGGATGCTTTTGAGGCTCTGATTGTACTTGACCAAGCTGGCGAGCAAAATGTTGCCAGCTTGGTCTGAAACGTGGTTGAGATGAAGGTCCAGGTGGTGCAGCTCGCAGCCCTCCTGAGCAACTGCATAGGCCAAACTCTTCACTCCTTTTGTGCCTGAATTTCGTGCTAAGTTAGCGATCAAGAGGTTCTAGCAAACATCATATTGAATAATTACTTTTCCTTTTATCTGAGGCTTTAATTGGWTTTTCGTCGATATACTTYGAATGCGTTTTTCTYAGTTGCGCTTCRGTTCTACCCGGAGGACTTTTCGGTGWTCGGTACAGGGTGTCCCATAAGTAATGGTCTTATCGTATACTTACCTATTCGGTTGTTGACCAAGTAGAGCTCGCGAACGGGGCAAAGGGTGGTAAACCTGGCAATCGCCACTGCTCCTCTGTCACCAATTTTACAGTGCGAAAGGTCCAAGACTGCTAAATCGTGCTTGCACAAGGCTTTCAATATAATAATCGCTTTGTCGCAGTCAATATCCGAGTCTGTAAGTCTGTCGAAATAGTCCCTAAGCCAACCGCCTAGCTTGGTATGTAAAATAGTACCTTAATTCCTGCAAGCGAATGTTTTGCAAGCCTTTGGCCAATAGGCTCATGTCCTGGTAGGACGTGGTGACTGTGTTCCATGAAAACTCATCTTTGGCGTATGTCTGGAAAGGGTTCATGCCATAAAAAGTCCAAACTGATTTAAACCCAGACTAGTTTGCATAGGCATAGTCGATCTCCACTGTGCCCCATGTGCATGCTTACTTTGCAAGAAAAAATCCAAAGGATTACAACACAAATTACCTGCTTAAACCGCAAACTAAGCATCTTGAGGTGCTCGAGCCCGGTTAGAAGTGCGTGCAGTGGGATTTTTCCGTTTGAGGCCTCTGAGCAAATCGTTTCATGGATTTCAAGAGCATCCACGTATGGACCGCATAGGCCACACAATTGTTTAATCTGAAACCCACAATTTAGTTACGAATTTCGTAATTGTTTCGGTTTGCTCCCCTTGGCTTTCGA